ACTTGCAATTTAACTCTTATAACATCCCCATCTTTTTTAGAGTGTGAACCAATTTGGATTCCACATGGACATTAATAATGCCTTCAACGAGCCAGTCTCAAGTTGTAAGTAACAAATAACGATTTTCCGCCATTGCAAGTCATGGTGAGCGGTTAGGGCCAAGTGCAACGCTGATGTATAATGCAATTTATGATATAATACCTATAATATAAAATGTATAATAAGAAAAAGTAGGGGCGCGTAAACGCACATAGAGATCACTGACTGTTACGAATTCTGAAATGGTTTGACTCTTCGCTGTCGCAAGCGAAAAACATGTAATCGATTCCCACGTACAGAGGACAATTTTACAAAGTAGCGCCATCTTATTTCCAGAGATAGTGTATTACCATCTCACTCAGCACGAATTTGAAAAAGCCCACCTCTTAAACTATCTTAAAACTATTTTTAAAACTCTTAAAATGTGGCCTCGGTGGCCTAGTGGTTAGGCTCTCAGACTCGCAACCGTACGGTCGTGGGTTCGAATCCCGTCAGGGGCCAGACGTTGTGTCCTTGGGAAAGGCACTTTACACGAATTTTCCTCACTTCACCCAAATGGGAATGGTTACCCGACTATAGACAGCGAAAGATCTTGTCAGTTTGTTAGTGTTTGAGCGCTTAATCAGCTGCTTGCACTGTATTCCCGGGAAGCTGAGAATGTTTCGGAGTGTTCTATGGTCTGCTGGGGTAATAATATAGTGTAAAGCGCAAAGAGCCTGCTGTTGAGCGGGGATATGCGCTATACAAATGCTATCTATTATTCTGAAATGAGTGCAAATGGTAGAAAATAGTTTTTAATTATTTTAGCATGCTAAAATCTTTAGTATACACAAGAAATGTACGTACGTAGCTATCAAAGTGACAATTATAATATCTCCGTGACTGGCGCTAAGCCGCTGATTCAGCAGCTATGCTGAGCTCTCCAGGGCAACACGGGGGATGCGTAACTGATTCGACAAAAAGGATAATAGGCCTGACGTGTCAGTATATTTTTTGTAAGG